GAGTATCAAGGAGGGCCTGCTTGTGTGGGCGGGGGGGGGGGGGGAGGGGGGGAACCTTTTCTGTATCAAGTAACAACAGACAAACAGGCCAAAAATTACCTTTCAGATTCTGTTCTTGTGACTGCTCCGCACAGATGACAATTAGAGGGTGATGACCCCAGTTTGTTCCTACTTAAGATCAGCCCAGCTCCAGCTGCACCTATGGGAACGGGACCTAAGGCACAGGAGCCTGCCAAGCATGTCTTTGCTCTACAACATCTCCTTCATTCACTGCAGTCCCACAGTTTCTACAGCATCTCATGAATGGACAGTTGAAGAACCAGCTATGCTTAAGGTTTTTGTGCTGGCATCATCACCCAAGAAGCACCGAGGCTCTACAAGGAGAGGCAAGAAACCAAAGAGGAAGGAAGAGGATTCTTTCAAAAACCACAGAGATGGTGCTAGAGGGTTGGGGTTTTGCCTGGAGGTGTTCAAACAGCCTTCCACCACAGCGCCTCAAAGGATCTATTGTTTGGAGCAGGTGGACATGAGATCTCGTGAAGCAATTGGACAGACTCATCTTGTTCCTGAACAACATAATTAACAGCACAATATATAGGGTACAACACAACCTCCAAACAGCCCTCTCTGCAAAGTGTCTTTGGAAAACAGTGATAAAAGATGTCCATTTCAGAACTGGGCACACTATAAAATAAGTTAAGTCTGTTCCCTGCTGCGTGGTTACTACCTCCTCTTTACCTTGTTTTTCTCATTGCTTAACATTTGTTTTGCCAGAATAAGATGCTAATAAAATCAAGTGTAGTTACCAAATTGGTTTTCAAACATTGCATTCCAATTATAAAAGCCTAATTCCTTCTTCCATCCACTGAACCTTTTTGGTATTAACAGGCTTTACTATGCAAAGTGATGCAGGGGCTGTTTCGTTTACAGTAATTAAATGAATGTCAATTGTTTTAGTTGTTTCTGAGGGAGAGTTCTACATGAGTATTAGCATGTTCTGCTAACCCTTACGTTCTGCACTTCAGGCCTGCTGCAAACCCTTGGGGGTTGACCATTGACCCGAGACTCCGTACCCAGACATGCCAAGCGCATCTCAATGAGATGAGCTCTTTTTCTCAGTTTCTATGGAACCAGCAGAGCGGAACTAATATAGCGGCCGCATATAGATGAAAGAATGAAGAGGAAAAAGGGCTTTACAGCTAAATTAATTAAGCAGATGTACCTGTCTAATTAAAGATGCACTACCCCTTTTGTACCCTAGCTGCAGTACAAACAGTACTTAAATACATTCTCTATCCATTTCATCTATCAAAATATTTAGTAGGAACACTCAGATGAAGGTGATATTAGCAAGATGAGCTTCCCATGTATTATTAATAGAAGGCCTCCCAATTATGCATGACTGCTGCACCATATCTTTATAGCAATAGCACAACAAACAGCTGCTCAAGTAGGTTACCAAACAGCACATTTGTAACAGGCAGAACTGTTATAAATGCCCTGGCTCAGCCTTATGGGAGGGTTGGCAGTCAGGCTCTGCGCAGTGGGAGCAGCCACTGCTGCAGCCTGGTGCTGCAGGCTGCAGCTTCCCAGCACACCAGCCACAGAGGACTCGACTCACGTTGCTGGTGCCAGAGAATTTGGCTTTTTTGAGATTTCAGACATAAGTATTCTGAAATTTTTTAAAGCTGCCCTCAAGGCTGCAAAGTCAGCTTCCCATTCATCTGAACCCCCTCAAAGGTTTTGAGGAGTCAGGTGTTAAACTCTGATCATCCAAACCTAAAATAACACAATATCATTTGGGCCATTTGCATAACCAGGGTCTTCTCACCTGAATTTACTCTACAGGAACGAGGAAGAAATGTTGCATGTATGTCCCTACAGCAGCACTCCAAATAGACCTAAACACACATGATCAAGGACAGCTACAAAGAGACAAACTCATCCACAGCAACACAGAACAGAGAGGTCATCTAAAACAAAAGGCTCCTAGAGGCCTGTGCTCTGTGAAAGAGGGCTTCCTGCTTCCTGCTCCTTCCCAGGCACAGAGACTTTGAGGAGAAAGTTGAAGCTCCTTACAGTTCCCCAAGGAAGTCCCTTTTCAGTGTTTTCAGTGTCATCTTTACACTGAGGATTCACACTGATACACAAGGGAGATATTAAAATATATAAAGGCATCAAATTCAGCACTTCTCTGAATCACAGGAAGAAATCACACCCCTTCCTTAGGGGTAATTCACAATGTGGATTTCCACAGCCAGAGTTCCAGCTAGATGACAGAGTCCTGCAACATACCTTTCATCAAAGATCTTCTAGTGGAGAAGGACTTACCTGCTGCATTTCCTGCAGCCTGACCTGGCCAGAGCAACGTACCAGTCACCAACCTGCCCTGCCACAGCCAGGTTAAGGCAGCCACAGGTGCAGCCCTTCACCAGCAGGAAATAAGGTAGGGGGGTGGCTGCTGTGGAACAGCCTCTGGCACGAGCTGAGAGCTTCTCTCCACCAGGAAAACCCAATTTAGTAATCTCACTGCTCCTGCAGCTCATTACGTCCTTAATTGGGCTCTGAACGTGATGAAACTGCAACCTGTTTTCTGTGGCTCTAGGTGTTATTTCCAGTTGTTCTGAGTCTCTCTGTGAGCCTGCCCAGCCGTGGGGTTAGACCAGGTGATGGGAAGGTTGGTGCAGCAGCAGAGTGACTGTCCGGCTGTTTTGTGAGAACCTCGAGCAAGCTGAGTTAACAGGGGAGTGAAAACATCTGTTTCCTGGCTATAAAACACTGCTGTTGTCTCTGGGGGAAAGTGCACAACTGAGCTGCAAGCCCTGTTATTCCCTCTGCATTTGTGTTTGCTTACAGCAGGCTGTCAGGGATGTGGACAGGTGGTGCCAGTGTAGCTTTGGTGGAGAGTACTGAGTGATTTAAGACACAAATTCATCTAATAGCTTCAATATTCCAAATTGGCTACATTGTTCATACATGGTTAAGACAAATCTGCCATTCACTGAATCACAAAATCAGAAAAAGCTGTGTAAATTAAACACATGAACTTCCCTAGCTGCAGGGCTTCGTACCTTGGATCACAAAACAAAGATCTCAAGCCAACTAAAATCTTCCTTATGAAGGATGGTTTCTTACTCTGTGTATTTCACCCAGCCTAGATACAGCTTGGTTGAATTCCTGGT